TCCAACTATTGCAGCCATCTGAGGAGTGAACCAATGGAAGGAAGACGTTTCTCTCTGTCTCTCTCTCTCTCATTGTCTGTAACTGTCTCAAATAAATAAATAAAATCTTAAAAAAAAAAAAAAACAGAGAAAATATCCAGCAAGGTAAATACAAAGTGTCACTGTTCAAAGAAGTAGCAGTCACATGTTGTTGGGTTTTTTAGTTTGCTTTTTAAAAACTTTTTAAATGGGATACTTAGAGAGCATGCTCCCATCTGCTGGTTTGCTCTCCAAATGTCCATAAGACCCAGTCCTGAACTGGGCAAAAACAGGAGCTCAGAATTCAATCCAGGGTGATAGGGACCCGATTATGTGAGCCATCAAGGCTGCTCCCAGGTTCTGCATTGGCAGAAACCAGAGCAGAGTATGGAACCCAGGCATTCCAATGGGACATGGATGTCTTAACTGGCATATTAACCACCAAGCCAAATGCCTGGTCCAGATGTTGGTTTTTTATTATTTTTTAAATGCTATTAGTCCATACTGCTTGATCTTAACAGTTTTTTTTCTAACACACACACACACACACAGAGCATGTGATAAAGCCCATTGTCAGGCTATGCATTGAGTACTTTGCTTGTTTTATTTTATTTAAGTAATAGGTTTGCTCCTATAAATAGATCTGTGTGCCCCTCACGATTACATTGTAGTTGACTGTGATGAAAGCAGTATCTCTCAGAGGGGACAGACAATGCCAACCCATGGGGACAAAACAGCCTTGTAAATTGGATTTCTAGACTACCATGGCAAACAGTGGAAAGTTTTGATTCCTATCCAAGCTTCACAATGGGGAATCATTGTTCAGTTGCGGCGCTCCACCCTTGAACATGGACTACCCTGTGGATTCATTATCTAAATGGGAAGTGTGACTTGGAATGGCTGAGAAGAGCAAACTGCACCGCCGTGGTGTGCAGATGGACATACTTTCAGATGGGCACACGGTGTTACTTATACATATATCACTACTGTGATGGGAAAAGTGTCTGCTATGCAGTAGACACTCTAAGATGTTAGCAGATTCTTCATTGCCCAGATAGGTGTGTGGACATTAAACTGCCTCAAACAAATATTTCAAGGCCCCATAATGTGACTTCAAAGGCTTTGAGGAATAAATATTTCACTTTCCTTTTCCTTATTTGTTTTACCGTTAACTATACTCTTGGCATCGCCATTAATCTTAATGAAATTCTAGCTTCCTATGCGCCAAGGCATACAGATACACTCAGCATCCAGTTACTGAAAAAGAGTTCCCTGGGACTTCTCTCTTCCTCTGTTTCAGTTAACTACTTTTAACTAGTGTGCTCCTTCCAAGGGCAAGATTCGTGGGCTGCTTCTCCGTGGCCTCTCCTGCGGTGGGAAAGCTCATTGTCTCCACGTGGACCACAAAGATAACTACAAGTAATGCTAGAATTTTCCTCAGAAAGCTTTGCTGGTCTTTTCCAGCCTATGAACAAGTGCTCATTTAAATCCCCCAGGTTCCATGTCATTAAGACGGCCAGACACCATTCTGACCTGGAAATTTTTCAGAGTAGGTTTCATCAGCTGCTGGCTGTGGCTTTAGAAAAACCTCAAGTTCCTGTGGAGGCCTGATTTTGATTCTGCGGGAGTATGTGATGGATCAGTTGTATCTCTATGTACATTTTAATTTATGCTAGTAAATACTGAGCCATTTAATCTAGTAATAACTAGTAATACTAGGATGTATTATCTATAGTAGTTACTTACAAAAAAGATATATTTATTTATCTAAAAGGCATAGTTAGAGAGAAAGAGGGAGAGACAGAGAGAGGTCTTTCATCCATTGGTTCACTCCCCAAATGGCCACAATGGCCAGAACTGGGCCAGACCAAAGCCGGGAGCCAGGAGCTTCTTCAGGGTCTCCCACATGGGTGGCAGAGGCCTAAGGATTTGGTCGTCTTCTGCTGCTTCCCCAGGCTCATTGCCTAGGATCAGAAGTGGAGCAGGGGCTGGCTCTGTGGCGTAACAGTTGGGCAGCTACCTCCAGTGCCAGCATCCCATATGGGCACCGATTTCAGTCCTGGATGCTCCACTTCTGATTCAGCTCTCTGCTGTGGTCTGGGAAAGCTGTGGAAGATGGCCCAAGTCACTGGGCCCCTGCAACCACATGAGGGACCTAGAAGAAGCTCTTGGCTCCTGGCTTCAGATCAGCCTAGCTCTGGGCGTTGCAGCCATTTGGGGAGTGAACCATTGGATGGAAGACCTCTCTCTCTCTCTGCCTCTGCTTCTCTGTAATTCAGCCTTTCTTTATTATTTTTAAAAGATTTATTTATTTATTTGAAAGTCAGAGTTACATAGAGAGAGAAGGAGAGGCAGAGAGAGAGAGGTCTTCCACCCACTGGTTCACCCCCCAATTGGCCACTACCGCCAGAGCTGCGCAGATTCAAAGCCAGGAGCCAGGAGCTTCTTTTGGGCCTCCCACAGTGGTGCAGGGTCCCAAGGACTTGAGCCAGGCCATAGCAGAGAGCTAGATTGTAAGTGGAGCAGCCGGGACTTGAACCAGCACCCATATGGAATGCCAGCCCTGCAGGCAGCAGCATTATCTGCTACACCACAGTGCTGGTCCCCTCAGCCTATCAAATAAATAAAGAAGTGGAGCAGTTGGGACTCGCGAACAGTACCCATATGGGATGCCAGCATCACAGGTGGTAGCTTTACTTGCTACATCACAACCCTGGCCCCAAAAGTTAATTTCAAAATATTAATTTAGGAGTAGGCATTTGGTCACTTGGGACACCCACATCCCATATCAGAGCACCTGGGGATGGAGTCCCGCCTCCACTTCTGATGCCAGCTTTCTGCTCACACACATCCTGGGAGGCAGCAGGCAATGGCTCAAGCAGTTAGGTCCCTGTCACCCATGTGGAAGACCAGACTGAGTTCTGAGTGCCTGGCTTCAGCCTGGCCCAGCTTTGGCTGTTAGGGACATTTAGAGAGTGAACCAGCAGATGGAAGATGTCTCTAACTATGTGTGTGTGGGCCTTTCAAATAAAAATAAGTTATGTCAAAAAGAAAGACTGCAATAGAGCTTTTTTAAAAATATTAATTTGCATCATCAACAACTCCAGAAAAACATATGATGTTCGTTTAATATGTTTGTGGTTACCTACACAGCAAAATATTCTCTGCCAGGAGCCAAGAGAAGCAATTCCACCAGTGAGGGTGACGGTGACATCTGGCACGTGGCAGGCAGCACACTGACTCCTGCACACAGCCTGCCTGTTGGGGGGAGCATGGGTTTTCAGTTTTATTCCTGAGGCTGCTAAGCAGCAGGAAATTAAGTTATGCTAAGGCCGTGTAGTTAAGAAGCAGAAACCAAAGTTTCCAATGCAGATCTTTTAAAGAGTCCAGTTTTCCCTGAGCTATTAAGACCCAAGAGAAACACCGGAGAGCATCACTGGGCTTGACCTGGGAACTTGAGTGTCCCATCTCCCAGATCTGTTACCCAATACTGAGACCTGGAGAGCCAGCTGTCCTCAAGCTTCTATTGCATAAACCCATTTGTAAGTAAAAAGTAGTCCCTACCATTGGTGCCATGTACTTAATTTTTGTCTCTTCTCCAGTCCCTATTGCTACCTCAAGATGCTAATCCTCGGTCCCTGATCTGCTGTTACCTGGCTTTGCTACTGCCCTGGTAGAAAGAGGAGGGGAAGGAGTTGGGGAGAAAGTGGTGAGACAAGGGCTGGGGAGTGAGGGATGAGGGAGAGAATGAGGCCAAGCAGATCCTTCCTGGTGTTTTCCCCAATGGCCAGTGAGAGCTCCGGGGAGGCCCAAGCCCTGGGAAAGGTCGAAGGTGCGATCTCTCCTTTCATGATTAAGAGCGCCCAGAGTGACACGTCCAGGGTCCCATTGCTTGTCACCAGGATGGATGCCCAGAGATGGGCGGGTTTTACTGCACTCTGCTCTGCCGTACGTCCTTTCATAGCCTCTCAGCAGTCCCCCGTGAGATACCCTTGTCCTGTGTCCTGTAAGGAGTGGACAGTTCCCTTTCACTGCACCATTTTAGAGGGAACTGATAGGTTATGTTAGACAAGCCAAATGGCATCTAAACCTGACTTTGATTTTCATTTTGAGGAAGTTAGTTCAAAACCAAGGTTAGTTTTCAAAATGAGGAAGTTATTTCAAAAAGAAAAATGACGGGCCCCAAATATCAGTGCTTGTGTAGTGACTGAGCTACATCGAGAACCTAGGAATTTCTATACATTTATTAGAATAAAGATCAGACAAGTCCACGTGACTGGATGATCTACACTGGCATAAGTTCAGTATTAGAAATATATTTGGGGGGACCAGCACTGTGGTGTGGCGGGTAAAGCCTCCACCTGTAGTGCTGGCATCCCATGTGGGTGCCAGTTCGAGTCCCCACTTTTCCACTGATGATCCAGCTCTCTGCTATGGCCTGGGAAAGCAGTGGAGGATGGCCCAAGTCCTTGGGCCACTGCACCCGCATGGGAGACCTAGAAGGAAGCTCCTGGCTCCTGGCTTTGAACCAGTGCAGCTCCATCTGTTGAGGCCATCTGCAGAGTGAACCAGTGGATGGAAGATTCTCTCTCTTTCTCTCTCTGCATCTCTGTAACTCTGCCTTTATAATAAAATAAATAGATCTTTAAAAAATATATATTTTGGATAACACAAACTAATTTAATTTTGAGAGTTTTTAATAAGATCTATTAATATGGTTGTCTGTTGAACCATATGTGAATCTATTAATATTCCAAATAAATGGGCTTTTGATTATTACTTAGGTCATTGGGCTTAAAAGTATATATAATATTTGTGAGCAAGGTTTGGATTAGAAAAAACTGTGAATTAAGAAAAGTGTCTATTAGAAATGTCTTTTTATATATGTGAGTAAATTAAACATCACCTTTATAGAAAGAAATTTTTTTAAAAAGATGATAATGCAATTTGCAAATATTATATTCAAACCATTTGTTTTCCAGGAGCTAGTTCAGGTTCAGAATTAAAACGTCCTGAACTGAATTTAAAAGGCACCCAGCACGTCATGCAAGCCGGACAGACACTGTACCTCAAATGCAGGTAAGTGACAGTGTTCATTTGGGAATAACCTAGTTACCTTTCCCAAGGCAAAATTCACTCCCTGGCAGAGAAGAGAGGTAGGAAACTCAGTGGTCTGGGTGATCCTCGAATGCAAACCGCAGGTACCCAGCCTCACGTGCAGAGAGGTCCCCACAGACAGGAGAGAGACTCAGGGAAAGTGGGGTGAAGGAAGCTCACCCATTTGTGCATATTCAGAATATTGTTCAAAATCTCTTCTGAATATGTTGCTTTTCTGCAAAGAAGAAAATGACTACACTTAAAATATTTTTAAAATTGTAATGAATATGAAGAAAACAGATTTAATGCAGTCATAGGTACAGTTCTAAGAAGATAACCATACTTCCCTCCCCCACCCCCCTTATTTCTTCCTTTTTTATTTTTTGCAAAAACATTATTTCAATCCACTGTATAATCATGAGTTTAATGCACAACTAACTATAATATTCAACAAATAAAAAATATAAAGACCACAGTTCCACAGGAATGTAAAAAAGAGCTAAAAACAACAATCAAGTCACAAGGTGTCCATTTCATCCCTGTACTTTTTTGTGTATTCTATATTAACCACCACATATTAGAGAAAACATATGATACATGTCTTTTTGGGACTGGCTTATATTTCACTAACCATAATGGTTCCCAGTTGGATCCATTTAGTTCCGAAAGACAGGATTTCATTCTTTTTTACAACTGAGTAGTATTCCATAGTGTATATATACCACATTTTCTTTATCCAGTCATAAGTTGGTGGACACCTGAGTTGATTTCATATCTTAGCTATTGTGAATTGAGCTGCAATAAGCATGGGGGTACAAATAACTCTTTCATATGCTAATTTCATTTCCTTTGGGTAAATTCCCAGGACTGGGATGTCTGGGTCATTTGGTAGATCTATGTTCAGATTTCTGAGGAATCTCCATACTGAATGACTATACTTAAGAGAGAACCTTAGAACAGTGCTTCCTTAAAAAAAAAAATTTCTTAGCAAGTGGCACCAGCCATGGCCCCAGATGTAACTGTACTTTATCTTCTGCCCTCTGATTGCAGAGGAGAAGCGGCTCTCTCATGGTCTTTGCCTAAATTGGTGAGTAGAGAGAGCGAAAGCGAAAGGCTGAACATCTCGAAATCCACCTGCGGAAGGAATGGCAAACAGTTCTGCAGTACCCTGACCTTGGACGCAGCTCAGGCCAACCACACTGGCTTGTACACCTGCAGATACCTAACTATCCCCACTTCAAAGAAGAAGGAAACACAATCTTCCATCTATGTCTATGTTAATGGTAAGACTTCGGTGTTCCACATTCCTTGTGTGATTGCTTTGCTGCGGAGCCCACATCCACCCTGATCCTTGCTAGTGGGCGTGAGGGAAGTGGGCGTCTTGTAGAAACCTACAGAATGCATTTTTCCTGCATTTCCTGTGCATCCATTTCAAGTGGACCCCTCAAGGCCTGGTCAGTGAACTGGATGTTCCGTGAGGTTGGAGACTCTCCTCACTGCACCAGCAGCACCTGGAAGTCTCTAGCGTGCGTTTGGATAAATAATGAACGACAGGATCTTTGTTCTAATTTTTAATACTTGAGGAGCCTAAAAGAAGAGATTTTTTTGTCCTTCAATGCAACTGCATTGTCTTATGTGTTGGAATTGTAACATATTGGGATTTTTTCCTATTAACTTAATAAATGTAAATTTAATGTTGCTCCTTGGGTGTTAAAAAACTGGCTCTAGTTAACAATGTGATGTTATTTCATGTCCACTGAGGAAGTATTATAGTGATATAAGAGCTGGCCTGTGCCATTTTATAGTAAAAAGGACAAAAGGTAAAAATTAGTCATTTTGGGCTACAGTTTTTATGGTATGTTTTCCCCCCTTAGAGAATGAATAAATGAAGTAATATGCAAAGGGAAGAAAAGCAAAACCCTTAAGGAAATATAAATTGACAATACAAATGGATCCCTGAGAAAGAATAAGAAAAATGGCCGGTCATTTTTTTCTTCCTTGTAGAGTTACAGCTAGTTACCACTACTTGTTGAAAGGCTTAAAAACTAAGGAAAAACATCCTTGAGAACAGGATGCAAAATGAGTAGGCACCTCAAGCTCAAAATCAATTTTAAAGACACAACAACCAACCAAAAGCTTCGGTAGCTAAAAACGTAGTGTGAGTATACCTCCTGCTACGTTAAAAGAACTGGCGCCTTTGCATTGGCGGTGGTACAGTCGAATACCATTTTTGAATTTTAAAAATAAGATGACTGGCTAATGTTTTACCTGAGCATAATCTTCATATTGTAAGATCTAGATTATGATATCTGTAAGATTCAGGGTTTGACTTAGGAGGCAGTAGAAATGCTGTGTGATGTTGGCTGTGACCTCATTTGAGCGGCTATGAACCTGCTTTTGACTGGGCACTCAAGTCTCCACTCCTGGACTCAGTCCTGAAACCCTGCCTTTTTCTGTAGGGAGGGGACGAAGCATTCTGGCTGTTGTCATCATCCGCCCCCTGAAAAGGAAGATGAAGACGTAGGCGGGGCAGGGAGGGGACCGGCTGTTGCTTGGAGGAGTCAGCCTCTTCCGAGGGAGGGAAGAGAGAGTGGCAGGCAGGAAATGAGACAGGGTGGATGGAGAAGGTGCAGAATTAAGAACAGAGATTTCCAGGGAGGTGATTTTGCAGCTCCAGGGGAAAAACACTTGCTTGTGATGGAAAAAAGTCACCGCTCAGCCACTGTTTGGAGTTCCACGTGGTCCAGCCTAGTCTCTCCAGCACTTTTGGAAAAAACAAAAACAAAAACAAAAACAAAAAACAAAGCCCCTCACTGTGCGTTACATAGACTCCTTCCCTCCTGTTCCTCTGGGAAGTGGGAGAAAAATATCAATTCGCACTGAAATTCTCCTAAAAATTTCTCCTATTTTTTTTTAAAAGATTTGTTTATTTGTTTGAAAGGCAGAGATACAGAGAGAGAGAGAGAGAGAAAGGTATTTGATCCACTAGTTCTCTCCCCAGATGGCTGCAATGGCCAGAGCTGTACCTATCCGAAGCCAGGAGCCAGGAGCTTCTTCCAGATCTCCCACACGGGTGCAGGGGCCCAAGGACTTGGGCCATCTTTTGCTGCTATCCCAGGCCATAGTAGAGAGCTGAATCGAAAGTGGAGCAGCTGAGTTTCTAACTGGTGCCTATACGGGATGTTGGCCCTACAGGCAGTGGCTTTACCCACTATGCCACAGCACTGGCCCTCTCCTATGCATTTATCAGAGTCTGACTTGCACATCAGATATTTTAAATTAATAAAAGAATCCCTTCTCTTTGGAAGAAAAAAAGTTCAGCTATTTCTCTTCTTAACTGCTATACTATTTGATAGACCTCATGGGTTCATGGAGCCAGTAGGAAGGGAGTGTAGAACCTGGTCACTTCCGTCACCTTTTATGACAGAGGAGAAACTTAGCTATTTAGAATTATTTCCATTCCAATCATACAGAGCAGACCCGACCAATAACCATTACTTGAGTGTCAAACGATTATTAGTCTAAGCCCATGAGGGCAAGGTTCATGTCTGCCCTAATCACTTTTATCTGACTTGCATGCAGTAAGAATTCATTTGTTAAATGAGTAAATGACTAACAGGTGCTGTGTGGAATATACTGTTAAAATTGATGTTGAGGATAAATCCAGGCTTAGTGGGAAAAAGTGCTGTGATTGATTATTGATGTCTGTGATTGCATTTCAGGGGAAGTAGTGGCCACTGGGCCATGCATTTATCATGTCTGCTTACTTAGTGCACAAACATCAGCTTAAAGTTACAAGTTCCACTATCTCGAAACCTCTGTACAATTTGTTAGACATTAGGAAATGGTTTATTTCAAGGACTGCTCTTAGAAAAGGAAGGACTATGAAATGCATTGTTTTACAGGGCATCACATACACTTTGAATACCCTATGATTTCACTGGGAAAAAATTGTTAGGATATACATTGAGACTGATTATTTTTAAATAGTACTGATCTTAAAATATGTTTGGATCAATAATTGTAGCCATAAGAGTTTCTTGATTCTTAATCATTTGCTAATTAAAATTGTTAAAAGATTTGTTTAGGGGCTGACATTGTGGTGCAGTGGAGTAAAGCCCAGGCCTGCAGCACCAGCATCCTGTTTGGGCGCCTGTTTGAGTATTGGTTGCTCCATTTCCAATTCTGCTCCCTGTTAATGAGCCTGGGAAAGCAGTGGAAGATTGCCCAAGTGCTTGGGCCCCTGCATCCATGTGGGATACCAACATGAAGATCTCTCCCTCTATCTCTCCTTCTCTGTCTGTAACTCTGTCTTTCAAATAAATAAAATAAAAAATTTTAAAAAATATTTCATTTATTTGAAAGATAAAATGACAGAAAGAAGAGAGACGAAGAGAGGGAGAGATTTTCCATCTGTTGGTTCACTCCCCAAATGCCCACAACAGCCAGGGCTGGGCCAGACTGAAGCTAGGATCCAGGAGCTTCATCTGGGTGTCCAAAATGGTGGCAGGAACCCCAGAACTTGGGCTACTATCTCCTGCCTCCCAGGCACGTTGGAAGGAAGCTGGATCAGAAGTAGAGGCAGGACTCAATCTTGGGTTCTCCGTTGTGAGATCTGGGCACCTCAAGTGGTGTCTTAACTGGCCATGCTACAATGGCTGCCCTTGCTAAGTTAATCAACAGACATTTAGGGGACACTGGGTGCCATAGCTGCATTACCATGAAGCATAGCACCTGTTTTGTTGTTTGTTTCCAGGTACTGTGATACCGGTCTCATAATCACAAATTGTCCAAGTCCAAGATAGCTGCAATACAGTTCATTAAACAGCTGTATTTTTTTCAAGTCACCTAATACCTTCTGTATTTCTGTTTCCATTATTTTCTTACTTTATTACCTTTCTTCCTGATAAAAATTGGTGTTATAGTTCCAATTTTATTGAACACTTCCATTAAGGGTTTATCTTAGTACAGGGGCACAGAACTCACGTGCAGACTCACAGGATTGAGGTGGAGATTAATTAAATTCTAACCATGGCCTAATGCTCAGCTGTGATTACTCACCGTAGTAACTGGTTATCACTTACTTATTATTGCTGGATATTTACTTGAGAACATTCTATTCTGTCTGGAGGATTTCTGTTCCTGATAAGCTTCTATGTTGGCATTTAACATTAGTTTTCTCTGAAGCTGAGAAAACCTGTTTAGACACATCTTTTGAAAAGGCAAATTATAGTCCGGTAGGATTCTGGGAAGAAGAATCAGGAGTGTATAACTTTCTCTGTCATTGAATCTACCATGTGAATTATGAACAAACTATTATTTAGCTGTTATTAATTGCCTGAAGTGTAACAGGCACAGCTCCTATCTGAGCACTGACTTTGTGTGACATCTGATATATAGTGTACAGGAAAATCAATATCACAACTTTATCATTACAGCTTGCAAAAATCCACATACCTCTGACACCATGAAGCAAATAAAGCTAATCATATTTAACCACAGTAGTTCATTCCTGACTTGTCTGATGAATGCATTTCCATTAACATAACGACTTCTTGCATTTGGATGTTTCTTTTCACTTAAACAACTGGTTTTGTTTACCTTGTGCCATTTAATCCTTGCCATGATCCAGTGAAGTGTTATTCCGTGTGGGAAGTGGTGCACAAGTGAGAGCAGCAGGATGAGGGGTCAGATTTTCCCTTCGGATTCTCAGTGGTGGGAGGAGATTGGAAGGGGCAAGACTGAGACAGGGGACCAGAGCAGGTGCAGCCGAAGACCTGCAGGGGGCCTGATTCTCTGTAGATGGGGAAGAGAGTGGTGATAGAGGGAGCCAATCAGCCTCTGGGGTCAGAGGTCAGATGGATGGGGCAAGGGGAGGAGTCAAAGTGACTCTCAGGTTCTGGAAGGGGCAATCTGGGAATTTGTTGCAGGCCCCATTACCAGGTGGAACTTTTCCCACGAAATCACGGTGACACAACGTCAGCATCCGTGGCATCCTCCATGATATATACCCTTGGTGTGGTTGCAATAAGTGCCTTTTTTTAAAAGCTTTTTTATTTATTTATTTGAGAGGCAGAGTTACAGTAAGTGAGAAGGAGAGACAGAGAGAAAGGTCTTCCATCTGCTGGTCCACTCCGCAAACAGCTGTAATGGCTGGAGCTGAGCCCATCCAAAGCCAGGAGCCAGGAGCTTCTTCCAGATCTCCCACACAGGTGCAAGGGCCAAAGCTCTTGGGCCATCTTCTACTGCTTTCCCAGGCCATAGCAGAGAGCTGTTTGGAAGT